AAGCGCGATTGCAAAGGTTTGCTCGTAGATGTACCACATTCTATGGGTATGTAGCATGTGCTAACTTCGTGGATACATACGTGTACAGTATGTATATCTCCCCACTCTGTTGAACGTGTTAAGGCTCGAATGTATATGCAAAAGGGTCATTCTTATTCGCTGTATGAAAATGCATTGAATTTCAATCAATAGGGGATGTTATATGTTACATGTAAGCATAGAAACATAAAATTCCATATGCAATATTATGGATAATAGGAATAAAAATAATGAATATACATAAAAGTAATATACATAATATGAATAATTTTTCATGTACATTTTAGCTAAAAATTACGTATACGTGAAGAATCAGTTTAAATAAAAAAAGGAAAGGGGGTGCAGAGCCCACACCTCGTCGGCTATTTTTTCTGCATTTCAAAATTTTACGGAAATTTGTAAAAGCTCTATAAAAAAATTTTAACACCCCCCAGAATGATCACAGTACTATGTATATATTTTTCTTTTTTTTATTTTTACATCAATATTTTATATAAATATATGAGCTTTTTTTCTTTTTTGCAATAATTCACACTTCCAATATCAATAAAAAAAAATTAATTCCTTCATAAAAAATGTAACAAGTTCATAAATACACAAAAAAGGGATGTAATCCAAAAAAAAAAAAACATATTTGTTTTCCCTCTTTCTTCAAAGGGCAAATAAAGTTACGCGGTTTTCACATAGTAATGTATATACGTGTATACATTATACATATATAGTAAATGTTAAAACAGATGAACTCAAGTAAAATAAAAAAATGTAAAAAAAAGTTTCTTTTTGTAAAAAAGTAAAATTATAGGAAAAAACGGATTTTATAAAACACAACACCTTTTTTTTTTTTTTTTTTGCATTCTTGGCTTGATAGATGTGAGAATGAAGTTGTTATTTGTCATTTTTTAACCACAATAAAACAACGAGAAAAAAAAAAAAAGAAAAAATAAACAATTAAGGTGCTTGTTGTAACATGAAGATAACAGTTCATTACAAGATCATCAGTTGAAAAAAAACGAAAACAACAAGGTGCAAAAAGGAGGAACTAAAGAGAAATTCCTTCTTCTGTTTTTCAAATGTAACATGCAAAAATTGTAGTGGTGAAAAATGAAAAAAAAAAAAAAAACATCTTGTGTATATATCATTTCTGTTCATTCGTACAAGTTTAAACGCTTGTGACTACGAAAAAGCGAAGTTCTCTTTTTTTTTTTTTTTTTTCTTGGCAAACTCCTGCATGATATAATAAATAAATAGGTGTAAGTTTAAGTTACCATACAATTCGTGAAGGGGGTTTAAGTGAAAGATCAAATTTGGCGGGTGCCTGTGTTCGCAAGTGAAATATATACATGTAAGTGAATGTACACTTGTGTATATAATTGGTAGCTCTCTATATATCTATCTTTCTTCATTTTTACCTGCAAGAGGTTATATTACACACACACATCTGTAGCTATATTTACACCACATACTCCTGTAATTACAAGTGCAAGTTTTACAGAGCTGTATTGTACTTTTTTAAACCCATCATTTTGTACATTATACACATTTTGTACATTTTTCACGCTTTGCATATTTGGAACAGATGTAACTCCTTAGTTGCGCAACACAAGTTGTAAAGAACAAAAACTGACTGTTGGACGCTGTTAATCTTTTATTGTGCCTTTTTTTTTTAAGCCACTGCTGAAAGCAGAAAATGGAAAAAATAAAGAAAGTTACCGTAAAAGGAAATAATTTTTTTTTATAAAAGTGTATAAAAATAATGCTCTTCCCAAATGTCACCCTTTGTAAGCTGCTCTGCCTTTGTTCGCCCCTCACTTTTACCCTTCACATAAGAAAAAGGAAGGAGAACATGTTTTACTTCACCATAACAAATCTGTGAGTCTCTTTTATTCCGCTTTGTTATACTTGCTTCTTCCTATGTCCCCACGCGGCTACAAAATTATACACACACCTACACCGCCCCGCGTGGTTCCACTCCCATTCGCATACCCTTGTTACACCAGTTATGAGAATCCGGTGGTCTCTTCCAAATACTATGACTGTGCGTGGCCCAAAAATTGATGCTCCCAACCACGTTACACAAAAGGGACAATTTGTCAGAGCAAACTACTACAGTGCAAGGTTAAAAAAAAAAGAAGGTACATCGCTCAAATGCTTACATTTGGATATTAACGTGGCGTGTGCGTCAAAGCAAAGTGGACCTCATCACGAGTTCTCTCCACATTTTTGCGCAAACATTTTTTTTTTTTCATTATGGGAAATGCTCCTTCCCGTTAAATTGTTCTAAAAGGAAAATGCTTTCACTTCATTCTTATTTGGATCAATTTTTTAAAAGCTTTGCTTTGTCACACCCACAAGCTTTTAATAGCAAATATATGTTAAATAAACTGAATGAGTTAAAATAATGAAAATTTTATGGACCATCAACTTGCCCAATCGTGTTTAAAAGGAATCGTTGTCAAAATGGAAGAGCCTTTTTCTTTTACGAAGAAAATCTCACTAGGACAACATGGGCACACAGGGTTTTCTCTTTTACGCTGTACGTGACGCGATGTTTTTCTAAATGCAAATGAAAAAAAACAGTGCATAATGCGTTATTAGCAAACTGTCATAAATAAAAATGTGTACTTCTATGTACATACACGTATATAACCAATCAATACAAAACCGCAGTGAGAAAAGCGCGCACCACACGCTTAACTATATGCACATATGCCAATTTTGCAATGAACACACAGATGGGGATATGATGTAATAGCTACGAACGAGTACAAACAGACTCCCCAACACCCCTCTGCTCTTCCTTTATGGCTTGTTTCACCAAATTGAAGCTTCACATTAGCCGCGTTAATCCAGTCGCTAAACAACCCGCATTTACCGCGTTAACTTATGTTCCAAAAAAGAAAAAGAAGCCTCTGGCGAAAAAACCCAATGCAGAGAAAGGCCCATTTCGGTTGGCACAAAAATTCTGCTGATTTTAACAGAACCAAAATGGGCGTTACTGTGCAGATGCCACCTTAAAGTAACAATCCAGTTGTAAAAAAAAAAAAGAAAAAAAAAGCCAAACATGCGTATATTTGTATAGTAGAAAAAGTATCACTCGTGATTTTTCTCATTTTTTAAATATTAATTTTTTTTCTATTTTCTTCCTTTTCTGTTTTTCCCCTTTTTTCCACGGTTTACCCTTTCCGCGCATCTCTCATAGAATTGCTCACCCCGTACACAACACAAAAATGGCAGTTTTATTTACAAAAGTGAAGTCCATAACTTTGCCTTAGAAATGTTGAAATATGTTTCGTGCCAAAACAACGGCGTTGAATGAACCCTCCCGTCCCAAGTGCATTTACCCAAGCGAATATGTCAAATACTTTTCTACTTCTTCGTGTAAACAAAAGGAATTTAAAAAGGAAATGTGCGCGCTTTCTTAAATCGTACGACGTTGTTAAAAAATATTTCGATATTTTCAATGTACACAATTCTCACTTACGTAACTGTTACGTAAAAAAGGGTATTAGCACAACACATATATTTTTTTTTTTCTCCTTTTTCGATATTCAAAAGTGTTGCAATTATGCATATTTTTCCCCTCCCTGGGTTGAGTATACTTGTATATTCCCCCGCGTACATTTTCAAACATCCCTGCTTTTTCAAGTTTAAAATAATTCTTCAACAAATTAACTCGTTTTAAATGATAAATCTATATATAAAAATAAAATTACACCATTTGGCTTCATTTTTCTGTTGTTAAGAAGGAAGTTCTCTTCCTGGCATGGCTGCCCTTTTATGAGGTGTGTATTTTTGTCTTTCATACTCAGTAGGCCAATATTTTGGAAGCTTCAAAATAAGTTGGTTTACTCATTTATTCCCCCCTATATTTTGTTCCTGCATTCTATCTCAATTTTGAAATCGAAAAGGTAAGAATTTCTCAAAAAAATAGAAGCATTTCCTTCCATTTTTATACTATCGGGAAAAAAAATGCATTTTATATTATGCCACACGCATTAACCATAACGTGAAGAAATTAAATTATTCCGCATTTGGCAACATATATGGATGTTTCAAACATTTTAAAGGAAGAGAATTAAACCAAACGGATCATAAAAAGAGTGACACAAATGTTCAGCGTTCTGTTGATTTTTCTTTTCCATTTTTTAATATCTATCCCGATTACTGTTACTAAGCTTTGCTGCCCAATTGCATATGAAAAGTGAGAACTTCGGGAAAAAAAAAAAAAAAAAGAGAAATAAAGAATTCTTTTTTGAGTGTATGCATTAAAACACGCTCTTATGGCCAAATGGGGGAAAAATACTCTTCAGTGATAATCGCAAAAGAAGGATTGGTGAGCAATTCGTTTTTGCCAGTCGAAGAAATTGTTAACTATGCTTGTTGATGTTTGTTGTTTAAAAAATTCCCCCCCCTTTTTTTTTTTTATTTTCATACGAAGGATATACAAACTGGTATTGTGTCACATTTTGAACGGAAATTTTGGCCTCTTCTTTTTTTCGTTTCCCTTTTTTCCTGATTTCATTTAAAGTAGTTCTAAGGATATTAAGAATTGGGCAACCGGCCTTCCTTCTTCTTGTCGCTATGTCGCCATGCAGCCCTGCTACTATGTAACCGCACCACTGCGATAGATCGCCCTATCCTCCCTAGGAGCTAACCCTTTTTGAAGAACACCTACACGTGAACATATCTACTGACTTATGTGTACAAAGTAAATTTCGCAGCGACGCGTATTTGCTGGTATACATATATTCAAGTAGCACTTCTCGTCTTTTCGCCTGCAACTTTCGTTGACATGTCTCCTGGCCAAGTAAATAAGAAAAATACGCCAATTCCAAAATGTTTTGTAGAATGCAAAAAAGTAAAAATTACATGTCCACCGAATTTTTTTTCTTTTTTCTTTTTTTTCTTTTTAAGCCATGTACCCTATGCAGCAGTAGCTGCGAGTATATGCGCTTGTCCACATGCACACACGCGTGTGCTGGGACGTGAACCTGCTGGTAGAACCAGAAGACACGGATGATCTTCGCACCCCACACCCTTACTGCAGAGCGAGATAAACAACCTAAAAGAAGTTTTAAAAAAACTCCCACAAGAAAAAAATGAGGAAAAGAAAAGAGAGGTTCTGAAGAAGGTAATAGCGTACATGACCCTCGGGGTAGACGTATCAAAGCTATTTCCGGACATTATAATGATATCAAACACAAATGATATAATACAGAAGAAAATGATATACCTCTACCTAAATAACTACGCAGGTAGGTTGTTTTGGTTACGCCTCCGCAGAGGATGTGTATGTCCCGCAGTTGTTAGAAGCATCCTATTTGCTGCCTTTTTATGAAAACCCTGTTTTATTACATTTTTGTGCACCCTTCTCCCCCACACACCACCACAGAAACGAACTCGGAACTGTCTCTGCTCACTATAAACACCCTGCAAAAGGACAGCAAAGATGACGACCCAATTATAAGGGGGCTAGCCTTACGGAGTTTTTGCAACTTGAGAATTAATAATTTGTTTGAGTATATAGAAGGGCCTTTATTTAACGGATTGAACGACAAAAATTCCTATGTCCGAAGAATTGCCATAATCAGTTGTGTCAAGCTGATTAAAATGAACCCACATTTAGCTATAAAAGACGATGTCATAAAAATTTTGAAAAATAAACTGCTAGACAAAGACCCCCAGTGTATAATAAACGCAGTGCATGCATTGAACGAAATATTGGTAGATGAAGGAGGATTAAAAGTAAATAAAGAAATCATTTTTAACATGCTAAACAAAATATCGACCTTTAACGAATGGGGGAAGTGTGTTGTTCTAAATGTCGTAAGTACCTACATTCCAGAGAATGAAGACGAAATGTATGACATTATGAATATATTGGAAAATCACATAAGAGATTTCTCCTCCGCCGTTTTCCTATCGTGTTTAAAATGTTTTTTAAATTTCTCTTCCAATGATACAAATTTACAAATTCAGATTTTTCAAAGAATGAAAGACCCTTTACTTACTTTAATTTCGACCTCTTCTTACGAAATTTCTTACATCGTTTTGTTGCATACCAATTTGTTGCTACACGAGGCGAATAAACTCAACTACAACATCTTCGACTATGACTACAAGCACTTCTTTTTTCGATACAATGATCTTACGTACATAAAGGACATTAAGTTGGACATCCTCGTGTCTGTGGCCACAAAGGTGAAACCTCTACCGTGCAGTTATGCTCTCCCTTGCCCCTCATAACTGGTGCACCTTCTCAGGGTATCTTTTTCGCACCATAGGGAAGTTTCCCCCTCCATTGTACATTTTGTGCGCCTCTATCCCAGTGTTGTTGCGCCAAAGGGCGGCCACCTGGTGAGGGGGCCCTTCCTCAAACATCCATTCTCATTGCGTACTTGTATTACCCACACTCCGCAGAACAACGTGATCATGATAACGAACGAATTGAGTGAGTACATATGCGACCAGAACGTGGAAATCGCGCAGAAGGCCATTTACTCCATCGGGTGTATAGCTCTGAAGATACCAAAGGCAATTTCCAAAATAGTGGAGTTAGCCCTCTCGTCCTTTCTCCCCATGAATCATTCCTACATTTGCAGCGCCACGATAGAAATGTTAGCCAACATACTGAGAAAGTACGAAGAATACACCAAGGTAATCATTGAAGAAATTATAAAACATGATAACAAACTGATAGACAATGCTGGAATCAGATCCTACATTTGGATTGTCGGGGAATATTCAGAGTACATAGAAAATGCACCATACATTCTGGAAGAATATGTCAATTTGACCGACTGCTCCTATTTATTCATGCTGGAATTGTTGACGGCGTGTGTGAAGGTCCTATATAGAAGACCTTCCGAAATGGTAGTCATTCTCGCCACCCTTTTTGACAACATTTTAAAAAATTATAAATACCCGGAGCTTACGGATAAAATGCACTTTTATTACAAGCTGCTAAGTTATAATTATGAAGAAGCCTTCAAAATAATTGTTTGTAAAAAAAAACTAGTAAAAAATTTCTGCGAATCGAATGAAAATAATCTACTGGACAAATTGTTCAATGAATTTAACACCCTGTCTGTATTGTATAAACAGCCTATATACAAATTTGTGGAGTATTCTAAAATACGTTTTGGCGGAATGTACGACCCGGAGGAAAATGAACACGGGGGGACCCATGACGATCATGTTCATATGGACGACGTCGGTGTAGACAATGTCGACCATAACATTGCACATGTAAGGGACACGGATAGGGAAAGCTTTGTGAACACCCCAGAGGAGGATACCCGAATGCCTGGCAAGTACCCCTTAACCACCAGTGACACCCACATAAGTCGCCATAACAGCAGAAGCAGTGCAAACATTCCCAACATGAACGAGGATATGCTCCTTATGGGCGATGAAGACACGGGGGGGTATCACCAGAGCGGGGACAGGCATAACGCGAACGGTCCCACGGACGATTGCAAAAACAGTCGCACAGACGATTACTCGCACGATCACGCTTACGCCCATAGAGATGGCGACGAGATGGGGAACGACAACCACCTCTCCGCAGAATCCCCAAAACACATGAACAACATGAACGCCCCCTTAAGTAGTAGGGATGTAAAAAAATCACGCGGCAGAGGTTCGACCAACAACGCGCCCACAACCACCGTTAGTAGTAGCCCCCTCAATAGTAAAAAGTTGCAGAAAAAAAAGTCGCATGAATTGATGAACACCACAAATTCGGAGCACTTGCACAAATTGAATGATATTTTAATCGATGCAGAAAATATAAACCCAGAACACTACCAAGAACAGTGGAATATTCTACCTGAACAGAATAATGAAAAATTATTTTTAAGAAAAAATTACTACAACTTACAGTTAGAAACAATTGACGAATTTCTATCAAAATACAACATTGTAACCCTCGCCTCCGGCGAAATTGATCAGTGCCTCAAATTCTACATGTACTCGCAATTTTATACGAAGCACTACATTTTTATTGAGCTAATTTTCAACAAGGCGGAAAATTCCATCAACTGGATACTGAAGTCCCAATGCGACAACCCCACCATGCTCGATCGCTTCACCGATTATTTCAGGGACATATTCATGGATTTCATGTGACGTCCACATTTCGGAGCGACCTCCTACGATTTCGTGCGAACTCCTGTGGCACTACGATCCTCCCCTTTAGCTCCTTCCAATCAAGCGTCTCTATCCCCTGTTT